CCTTACATACATACATACATACATACATACATACATACATACATACATACATGCATGCATACATACATACATACATGCATACATACTCCATCCATCCATCCATCCATCCATCCATCCATCCATACATACATACATACATACATACATACATACATACATACATACATACATACATACATACATACATACATACATACATACATACATACATACATACTTACATACATACATACATACATACATACATACATACATACATTATCTTTACCCGTTTCTTCCTTTTTGAGTTGCAGGGGTTATTGGTGCCCATGTATCTAGCAGACACTGAGTGACAGGTGGGGTACACCCATGACAGGTCTCCAGTCCATCACAGGGACACATAGAGACAAACAACCATTCACTCTCTCACTCACAACTAGGGACAATTTAGAGTTACCACCAGTCAGCCTAACCTGGAGAAAACCCAGACATGCACGGAGAGAACATGGAAACTCCACCCAGAAAGGTCCTCGGCTGGGAATTGAACCAGCGACCTTCTTGCTGAGAGGCAACAGTTTTACCAACTGTGCTGCCTTGCCATCCTATCCCTTTAAACCCTCCCACTAAATAAAAATGACACTAAATACTTTAAGTATTTTACATTCAGGGCAGCACGGTGGCACAACTGGTAGAGCTGCTGCCTCTCAACAAGAATGTTGCCGGTTCAAATCCCGGTCTGGGAGCCTTTCTGGGTGGAGTTTGCATGTTCTCTCCGTGCATGTGTGGGTTTTCTCCAGGTACTCCGGTTTCCTCCCACAGACCAAAAACATGCATGTTAAACTGATTGGTAACTCTAAATTGTCTCTAGGTGTGAGTGAGAGAGTGAATGGTTGGTTGTCTCGTTTGTCTCTATGTGTCCCTGTGGAGACCTGTCCAGGGTGTGCCCCATCCCTCGCACAGTCATTGCTGGACATGGGCACCGGCGACCCCCGTGACCCAAAATGGAAGAAGTGGGTAAAAGATAATGGATGAATGGATTTTACATTCAAGTAACAAGTATTTTAAACACTCATTGAGTTGTGCACACAGGTATTTAGAAATATATATTTACTGGTTTGTGAGTTAAAGTACTAACCGCTGACTGTTTTAACAGGGCGGACTCATAAACTTTGAGAAGAGGAGAAGAGTAAGTGGTTTTTCTCTTTTTATATACTCGTTTCAGTGTGGTTTTCCTTAAACAAAAAAAAAACAAACAAAAAAAAAAACAAGGGTGTTGGTGCAGCATATTTTCATTCCTACATGCTTCATGGGTGTGTAGAGCAGGCACGTTTTGTTAAAGTAAACAACGCAAGACACGCACTTTGGAACATATTATAGAAGCTTAAACCTCCTGACACCTTTTAAACATTTACAGATTAAGAAGAAGAAAACCCTGCAACAAAGCTCTTTCTGTTGTATCACCTTGTTGATTCAGCAAGATTATGCAACCACTAAACATTTGACCTACCATAACATCATGCAGTAATGTTTATGCTTTAGTTTTCTTTGTTTATATATCAACAGTTATTACTTTTTGCTCTTCCTACAGGAATTCGATATCTTGTTACAGATTCGAGTGCTGCAGGCATCCTGTTCCCAGTATCAACTCCCTCATCACCCTAAAATCACCACTGCTGGTATACATAAACACAAGCTGCTTACTGATCAGGAGAGGTGAGCCAAA